GAAGAGGATGCGGCCTATCGAACGACAGCTTCGCTCATTGCGGAAGGGTCTGAAACATCTGCACCTCGAGCTGCGTCTCCTCGGGTACCGTCTCAAAAGAGTGGACGATTGGCCAGTTTGCGACGGGCCATTACCAACATCGGCACACGAGAGCATCCTATCGATCTAGACCCCGAACCCGACGAGCCCAAAGTTGTTGTTGCCGAAAGGGCGCGAATCCAAGACTATGTGGCGCTGTATGGAGAGCCTATGGATATTGATGGTGTATCGCCTTTCCATCAATACAACGCAAGGCCGATCGATACGCCACAGCCGACGGGCACCTACATAGATGAGAGGACGCATCTGCGGAGTCGCGATTGCGTCGTCTGTGGCGATAGCGTTCATGTCGTCGACCTACCCTCTCTTGCTGAATGTGATCATCGACCGGAGACGTGTGCGGACTGTTACTCAGGATGGATAAGCGTGCAGCTCCAAAGCAGTAGCTGGCGCGAAGCCAAATGTCCAGGAAACAAGTGCAAGACGGTGCTGTCATACCATGAGATCCGGCTATACGCGCAACCGGAGATCTTCCAGCAATACGACACATTCATCGCCCGAGCAGCTTTCAGCGAAGATCGTAAGTCGTAGCAACAACACTTTTGGGTTTCAGAAGCTGACAATGGCACAGCCAACTTCCGATGGTGTCGAGCGTGTGACTCCGGTCAGATCCACATGAGCGGTGTCGAAGGCAATATCTTTACATGTGTAGCATGTGGACACAAAGTCTGTATCATCCACGAGAACACATGGCATGAAGGCGAAACTTGTGAGGAGTTTGAATATCGATCTTCTGGTCGCAAGGAGCGAGACCAGAGAGCACAAGAAGAAGCGAGTCTTCAAGCGATCGGGAAGCTGGCCAAGAAGTGTCCCGGTCCAGGATGTACGTGGAATATTGAGAAGAACGATGGCTGCGACCACATGACATGTAAGTTTCGCGATGCTTTAGACGTCAATGACCGCTTGCTGACTTTCATAGGCTCGAAATGCCGCTTTGAGTTTTGCTGGATCTGTCTTTGCAACTACAACAACGTCAGAAGAGTGGGCAACTCGGCCCATACGACGACATGCAAGTACCACACAGGAAGACTTGTGTAGCGGTGGATGGCGAGTGATTTCATTGTAGCGAACTTTATACTTTCGCTAAGCACATGCTGGTCCTGGGAACTTCTAGCATCATTTAGCATTCGGGGTACTTACAAAGATTACGACGTCATGTCACTCTCTCAGACTTCACGTCGCGACGTCAGGCACTCCACTGCAAAATTACATCCGTATAGAGCGTATATCCCGGTAGCGTCCCATGTTGATGTCACGGACTCGGGCCCTACGCGCTCCGATTGGCGCAAATTACCCCTAGCCCTGAGCAACTCCCCGAATTCATACTACTTGTCAACAAACACAAAGACTTCACCGCCGCTTTTTGTGCCATTGGTGATTCGCGCGGTGTACTTAGCCTTTATGATCGTGCTGTGACGGCATTTGTACCTTTTTCAGCGGCAGTTCTTCTACTTCATATCTTGTCATCTTTGCCAAAAAATCGGCTTCATCTTTTTCGAGTCTGAACCCCTTGAAACAGCGCGTCGCCACACCCGCACCTACAGTAGCCATGTCAATGCGAGTGACGCGGTCGCAGGCCGGCAAGACACCCCAGTGAGTGAATGCCAGGTCGCGCGTGCACACTGTGCAGACATGTGCATTAGTTGCTGACATGCATAACGCAGAAAGCCTGACCGTCCTGGCTTTGTCGAGACCCCCGGGCGCAGAAAGTCGCAACGCAAATCGCTTGCGTCCGATGTCGACGACGGATACGAATCGACGCCCGAGCCAGAGAACTTCTTGAAGCCTCTCCGATCTGGCGACAGCGATGTGAAGCACGAAGTCGAGGAAAAGAGCAATGGCCATGCCAACGGAAACGGACACGCCAACGGCTACACGAACGGATACACGAATGGAAACGCAAACGGGCGCACAAAGAGCGAAAAGGAGATTGTCGAGCTGGACTACAAGATGGAGGCGGAAAAGTTCTTCTCGCCAAAGGACAAGTCCGGCCTGCACGAGTTCGGAGGCGCCATTGGCATGAGCAGTATGATGATCTGCTTCCCAGCGCTCATGTACTACATGTGGATTGGAGCGACCTTCTACGACGGCAAATTCCCTACACCGACCGCGGGCCAGAGCTACGGCGACTTCTTTGGACACATGTGGTATCTGGTAAAGACCGAGGCGTTCCCGAACAACAAAGCGTGGCAGATCTACTGGTTCTTTGGACTCATGCAGATGGCCTTCTACATGCTCATGCCGGGTGTTTACCGCAAGGGCAAGGCTCTGCCTCATCTTGGTGGAAAGCAGTTGGACTACTACTGCTCGGCCATGTGGTCTTTCTACTCCAGCATTGTCATCATGTTGACCCTCCACTTCACCGGTGTCTTCAAGCTGTACACTCTGATTGACGAGTTCGGCCACATCATGAGCGTAGCCATCCTTTCAGGCTTCCTCTGCTCGACAATCGCATACGTCTCAGCTCGCGTCCGCGGCGCTGACCTTCGGATGACTGACAACCCCATTGTCGACTTCTTCCTTGGTGCGGAGCTCAACCCTAGATTGTTCGGCATTCTGGACTTCAAGATGTTCCTCGAGGTCCGCATTCCGTGGTTCATCCTCTTCTTCCTTTCGCTCGGTACCTGCTTGAAGCAGTACGAACAGTATGGCTACGTATCCATAGAAGCCATCTTCCTGCTCTTTGCCCACTACCTCTATGCAGGCGCCTGCGCAAAGGGAGAGCACCTCATCATCACAACCTGGGATATGTACTACGAGAAACTCGGCTTCATGCTCATCTTCTGGAACATGGCTGGCGTACCTCTGTCGTACTGCCACTGCACCCTGTTCATCGCCAACCACCACCCATCCGAATACCAACTCCCGACCTGGTTTACCGCTCTCCTCACCCTTGCCTACCTTGGCGTCTACTACATCTGGGACACAACCAACTCGCAAAAGAACCAGTTCCGTCAAGAGGAGCGTGGTGTTGTCGACGAGCGCACTACCTTCCCCTACTTCAAGTACGGACGCATCGCCAACCCCAAGACCATCCAGACATCGCACGGCAACAAGATTCTGGCTGACGGCTGGTATGGCAAGGCGCGTAAGATTCACTACACGTGCGACTTGTTTTTTGCTATCAGCTGGGGTCTTATTACTGGCTTCAGCAGCCCGTTCCCATGGTTCTACTCCGTGTTCTTTGCGGGTATGATCATCCACAGGGCGCTGAGAGATATTGAGAAGTGCCGGGAGAAGTACGGTGAGGCATGGAAGGAGTACGAGAGGCAGGTGCCTTATTTGTTCATTCCGGTAAGTCCAACATATCGCGTCTTGACTGCATCGTCGCTAACATATCTGCAGTACGTGTTTTAAGTACATACCAGACCGTCGCTTTGATCTTTTACCATCTTGCGAGTCTTCGGACACATTTTACTTGACGGGACCATTCTGTAGTATACCATAGCATTCTTCTCGCATTTCGACGGTCGTGGCTAGGGCGGGATAGCATTGTAATGGTTGTAATGGCAGTAATGGCAGTAGTAATGTATGATGTAGCAATTAGCTCAGGCAAAACTGATGTGACACGATGCGCCATCCATGTGTCTGTCTAGACATGCGAACCCCTACGCGTGCCAAGCCTTGCGTCAGCGTGCGTGCGGGCCAAAAGTTCAGACCCTCACGCCTCGTATCCGCAAAGTGTCCTCCCCTCTCAGCCCAACCCAACAACCCGCCCAAGTCGCCCCCCCAGCGCACCACCGCCCACCATGGACGCCCTCAAATCCGCCATCCAACCCATAACGCACAACCTGCCCCAACCCATCGCCGACGTCGGCATCTCGCTCCTCGGCCCCAAATGCTACAAGACGCTCATCTACAACGTCGACATCACGGCCACGGAATGCGTCAAACTCGCCATCTCCAAGGGCCTCGGCATCGGCATCATCGGCGCCTCCTCCATCGTCAAGATCCCGCAGCTCCTCAAACTGCTCAACTCGCAGTCCGCCGACGGCCTCTCGTTCCTGTCCTACCTCCTCGAATCAAGCAGCTACCTCATTAGCCTTGCGTATAACGTGCGCCACGGATTCCCGTTTAGCACGTATGGCGAGACGGCGCTTATTCTCGTGCAGAATATTGCTATTGCGAGTTTGGTGCTCAAGTACAGTGGACGGAGTGTTGGTGTCGCGGGATGGATTGGCGGGTTGGCGGCGGCGGGCGCGGCACTGTTTAATGATCAGTGGGTTGATAATGAGAAGTTGAGCTTGTTTCAGGCGACGGCTGGTGTGTTGGGCGTTGCGAGCAAGGTGCCTCAGATTCTGACGGTGTGGAGTGAGGGTGGGACGGGCCAGTTGAGCGCGTTTGCTGTAAGTCTTGATGTTTCTACGATACAGGAAATGGATTTTGTGGCTAACATGGTTATCAGGTCGTCAATTATCTCCTCGGATCCCTATCTCGTATCTTTACTACCCTCCAGGAAGTCGACGACCCGCTCATCCTCTACGGCTTCATCGCTGGTTTCGCCCTCAACGCTATTCTCTTCTGCCAGGTCGTGTACTACTGGAACGCGCCCGCGTCCAAGGAGACGGAGTCAAAGAAATTGGAAAAGCCCATCGCGGCTGACAAGAAGGAAATGGCGCGTGCCGTCTCGAGCGGTGCTACGCCGTCGTATGCGAATGCCGCGGGCAAGAGTCCAAGCACAAGACGCAGGGGATAGGCTTATCTCTCTGTCGCTTCTTTCTTGGGGATGTGGGCTGTTGAATTAGTAGTTGTAATACAGACTTCACTTGCGCGACGTCTTGACCATGCTTGGGTGAAGATTACACGTATATTCAATACACTAACATGCTAACATATGCTCAATCGCATGTCTAGAAAAACAACTCCGGGCGTTCTGCTAAACAAAGCTTTTCGTATTCCCATCAAATCTGCTGAGGCGCCGTACTTATAGCATGTGGGGGTGGCATTGGTGGAGCGCCTCTGCTATCCGCCAAATCTCCCGTAGGCGACATCGTCCTCTGCTGGTTTGGTATGATGGTATTGACTGGAGGCGGTGGTGTGGGTACTGGGGAGAGGCCCACTGGCGGGTGGTATCCAGTGTCTGTCAACCTCCCAGATACTGGGTTGTACACGCCAGTCCTTGCTTGCAACTCGTAGTTGTCGTCATCTTCTGAAGACGAATAATCGTAGGTGTCCATTTGACGTTGGCGCGCAACATCTACTGCGAAGGGATTCGTAGCCGGCAACTGGTTCTGGTATGTGTGCACCTTCGACGTCATGGTGGACCCCATCGTGCCGGTTCGGTAGTTGCTTGATGCCGCTGTATCGCTGCGATCAACGCCATACTGCGATCCTGATTCCTGGCGTCGGCGTTGCGAGTTGTGAATCTGTTGGCGGAAGACGTTGCCCGTGTGGTCGCCGCTACCTTCAGGCACGGCCGTTGTAGACGAGTAACCAGACGCTTCTCCGCGTTCCTCGTCCGCTGGCTTGGCCATGCGCTGCAGCGGTTGTACATCCTCATCCACCATGATCGTGGGCTGCGGCGGTGCGCGTGATGCCTGGCCCCAAGCTCGGATTGGGTATGCGCGTCCCTTGCGCCATGTCTCGGAAACAGGAGGGAAGTATTGGCGGTAGGAGCCCCAGGATACGAGTATGCCGAGTAGGGCGCCGGACAGGACGTCGAATGGGTGGTGACGGGCATCCATAATGCGGGTTCCTGTGATCAGAGCAGCTCCAAGTGCAGGAACCATGACGAGGAATGATCTCCAGACCTCGCCCTTAGCATCGAGTACGTGGAGCTTTCCGGCGAGGTAAATGGAGAGGTAGAAGAGACCGGCGAAGGAGACTGGAGGGCGTTAGTAGATGCTTTATTTGAGCGCTTATGTCGCATACCGCTGCTGTGCCCAGAGGGGAAGCTCTTGAAGCCATCTTGTAGAATGTAATTGTCGGTCTGCGTGCAGATGTCGATGGTTTGTAATGCGTAGTTTGCACGGTTGACCTTGGCTTCATCGACGAGGCAGCGGCTGATCAGATCCGGCCGCGGCTTGCCAATGGCGTTCTTCAACGCTCCCGTGATGGTGAAGGCGGCGCCAATGCTCAAGCCAAGGCCAAGGATGCCACAGTTCAATTCCCACAACCGATCCTTGAATCGATATCTCCCTGATAGGCGCTTGATGCCAGCCCTACCTGCGGGCATTGTCGTCTGGTGTGAGAAGAGCCCATCGATGACCATGGTGTAGAGTGCGATGACGGCAGCGGGAGCGAGGATAACGTAGACGCATAGCCACGGGACGGGTACGCGCTCATGTTCGGCGAATGGGTAGTGCAGGGTGTAGTTTTCGAGGGCGAAGTGCTGGTGGAAGGGCGGGATCTTGTCGACAATCGTGAAGGTTATCATGAGAACACTATGGCTTTGTTAGCCGGATCGAGCTGGGAAGGAGGTCGTGTGACGCGGCGAGGGTGGTCTTGCAGTATGATGAGGTAGTCGCCAATATATCTGTGCTGGTCAGTTTCTAGTACCCTTATGCATGCATAGTTGTACGCACGAGAAGATGACCTTCTTGGGAAGGCGCTTCTTGGAGAAGGGAAGGCGCTCAGGGAGCTGTTTCGACGTCCAGTCGTCCATGATGCGCTACAGGACCCAGCCAATCGCGGATGCTTCGTTGCTGTCTCAGACTCAATGGCAGTCGACTGCTCTAGTATCGCAGTATTGTTATATGCGAAAATGTAGGCGTGAATATTCTCGGGGGTCCGCAAACGACGGCACCAGACATGCGACCCTCCTGGGGGATGGCGCAGGGGCGGAGAGGAGAAGGAAAAGGAAATGCAAGGTCAGCGAGAAGATAAAAGACAGTGGGGTTCGTCAAAATGCAGTGGTTGTCCCCGGGTCAGCAACGCCGTGGGCAGGGAGTATGTGTAGAAGTGCAGGGCCGACTACGCAGCGTCTCCGTGCTCAGCTTGTGGCTGTGAGGATTGAGCTGACGCGCTCCCAGACTTGGCTCACTCCACAGCAGCAGGGCTAGCCGCCTCGAGATCAGCGCCAATTCAACTCGGCCTTGGTACGCGGAGCATTATTTCACGTTACGTCGCGATAAGGTTCGTGTGATATGCATGCGGCAGCAGCTCTAGTAAGGCCGGCCGCATGCCCGGCAGGCGATGGCATCCGAACCGAGCTGTAAAAGAAATACGGCTACGGTATGGCAACAATGGGCCTGTTCCATGTGGCGCATCCAGCGGAAGCGGCGATCGCTTAGCGCCATGGCGATCAGCTTATTCTTCCACCGCCTCAGGGTCCGACTCTCTACATCTATTCCTGTATCGCCATGTTTTCCTTATTCGCCAGCGAGAAGCCCCAGCCCAAAGCCGCCGAGGTTGCCATCCAGAGGGTCTCAAACATCACCGCCACCCAGCTGTCCCGCTTCGAGCGCCTCCCCAAGGTCCAGCGCTATGCCATCATAGGCGCTGCCTCTGTTGGCGGACTATCCATCCTATGGGCTTTGACTTCATCTTCAAAGGCTGCCAGACGGCCTCTGATTCCGTCTCCCAGGGATTCCCTGCTACCGGATCTGTCTCCCGAGGACGCTGCAGAACTTCCATACCATCCAGCTGCACTGCCCGGAGCCCGCGATGTCGATTCGCCATGGGGTACTATCCGCGTGTATGAGTTCGGCCCCAGAGATGGAGAAAAAGTTTTACTCATCCATGGCATCTCGACCCCGAGCATTGCCTTGACTGACCTGGCACACAAACTGGTTGGCAGGGGCCGACGTGTCATGCTTTTTGGTGGGTCCTCCTTGCTGTCACTGCTAGTCTTTGCCCCATCACTTTCCTCTTCGCTGTTTCAAAGCCGTGAAACCAAACACCGTCTTCCTGAACATGGAGAAGATGGTTTTTCTGTGCAGCTTCTATGATCGCCACATCTGGATGCCCCACGTTGAACCGGGCGCAAGACTGTGTCATGGGGTTCCTTGCTTTACCCGTTTCGGAAAGGGGCCCGCCAGCCCTACCAACGGTGAACCACGTGCACCGCAGATGCGATTACCGAACTGCATCGTGGACAGTCCGTGCTATGCTACAAACCAATCATGCTAACAATATCAACAGACCTCTTTGGTCGCGGCTACTCTGATGGCCCTGACCCGGACACAACCAACTATGACTCCAGCCTCTTCACCAGCCAGATCTTGCTCGCTCTACAATCTTCGCCCATCCACTGGTCACATTTCACTATAGTCGGCTACTCTCTGGGAGGCGCCATCGCTGCAGACTTCACATCGTACTTCCCCTCGCTGGTCCGCGGGCTCGTCCTCGTCGCTCCTAGTGGGCTCGTCCGCAAAAACCGCATTTCAATTTCCAGCAAAATGCTTTACAACAGCTCCTGGATGCCGGAATGGATGGTACGCAAGTTTGTCGCAAGCAAACTATGGACGGGACGCAAAGTAGTTGAGAGCGACCCTGAAGCAGTAGAGAATGCCGAGACTACCACGACTGCGAGCGAAGGAGACAAGACATATCTGAGCAGCAACCAAATGCTCTTGCCCGGCAACCCGCACTCTACCGTCTCTTCCGTCGTGGATTGGCAGATACAAAACCACAAGGGGTTCGTGCCAGCCTTCATATCCACCATCCGTCATGCGCCCATCCAGAATCAACAAGAGCGCTGGGCCGTCATCCGCGAAAACATCGAGAACCGCGCCGGCCCACTAAAGGAAGTCTGGCTCATCCTCGGCGAAACAGACCCCGTCATCAACGCCGACGAAGTCACCGAGGATGCAAGAGCAGCACTAGGTGAGGAAAACGTCAGGGTCAAGGTACTCGACGGTGTAGGCCACGAAGTCGCTATCGAGCGAGCAGATGACATTGTCAGGGCCGTAAGAAGGGTTGGTAGTAAGCCCGAGGAGGTCAGGGAGCAACCGGAAGTAGCGCCTGAGGTGCCTGAAAAGGACCCGAAGCCTGAGAAGCCCGAGAAGGCTGAGAAAGAAAAGAAGGACAAAAAGGAGAAGGAGAAGAAGAGCTCGAGTCGGAGGAAGCACGGAAGCTCACACGCTGGCTCTAGCGCGAAATAGGACTGAAGCCCAGTATTGAGATATGGTTTACGAGGCCAAAGAATGTACAAGAATATATAACAAGAACAATTTCACAACGCTTACATGCGACGCAAATTTCTCAACAAAGCTGAAAGTATGTGACGTGAAAGTTTCATTCTCAAGTATATACACGAAATCGAATCCTCCCCATTTCTCCCTCACCCTCAGTCCATCTAACCACTCCACACAGCGGGACCGGGAGGAGTGTAGCTAGTAGGAACCGGGTAGTAAATGTTGAGCTGGATGCCCTTGTCGTCCGCCTTGTACGCGCCCGGGAAAGCAACCTTGGGTCCCGGAGTACCGCTGCCACCGTTCTCAACCTTCAACTGGGCACACGAGATGTAGAACTGCGCACCACCGATCGTGGACGCAGAGTGCACAGCAATGTGCTCAACGCGCATGAGGTATTCGCCCGAAGGAAGGGATTTGGGAAGTGTGACGTCGACTTCTTGCTTGCCTATTCACACAACCATGTCAGTTTTCTATTCTATCTGAGTGCGAGTTGAAGATTAAGGGAAGACATACCGTTGCTCGGCCAGTTCATCTGACCACCAGAAAAGGTAGCGCCCTGGCTGAAGATCTTAAACCACACATCACCGCTTCCATCCCAGGTCGCAGCAGTCTTGCCCTCGGGGACCTTGGCGAGGTAGAATTGAAGGGGGCCCGGGTGCGAGATGCTGGATGCGGCTGTGAAGCCGACGGAGTCGCCGGCGTTGACGGTGTAGGTCTTTGAGCCTGTGCCCGGAGCGAGTTCGTAGCAGCGGATGGCGTCGGCGGTTACGTCTGTTGTGGGACCTGGACGGGTGTTAGATGGGTGTTTGGAAGGGAAGTGATGGGTATGAATGGGGAGGCGTACCGTTGGATTGGTAGTTGGCGGTCTTGCGAACGTATTGCCACAGACCGGTCTTTTGGCCCTTGACGACGAGTTCGGGGAAGGTGTAGTGGGCGCTGGCCGTGCTGGCGACAGCGAGAAGGGTGGTGAGGACGGAGCACTTCATGGTTGGTTACTGTGAAGAAGATGTGATGACGGGTATCTTGATGTCTGTACGAGGTACCAAACCCCCCTCTATATATACAACCATTCTGCTGGCTTGGGAGTGGAGCCGTCACACATCCAGGTTCTTCTATATTGCAGTACTATGCGCCCCAGACTCAGGCGTGTGGTACTTCATTTTTTCGCCGCCTTGCGCACGAGTAGGTCAATAATGTTCCGGCGGGTAAAAGAGATGGTAGGTGATGGGGGCGTTGCCGAACCGAGGTGTTGAAACGCGAGACCCAGTACAATTAATTCATGGGAAACATATGGATGTTTAGATGAGGTTAGTGGCGCTAGCATGTAGTCATTGGTCGGCAGGCAGCGTCCCCCTGTCCGGTAGTCGAAACACATGACCCGGTTCCGATATTGCGACAGGCGGCTTTGCCATCCTGGTAGATTGAATGGCGTCTCTAGTTGCACCACAAGTGTACGTTGGATGGAGGCGACTACTCGAAGCGATACACAGTGGCTGCTAGAATATATTGAGCGTGTGGACTGCAGTATCGTGGCGGCATGGAAGGACTTGAAGAAAACCCGGGACGAAGATGCGAAACACTATGGACATGAAGCTTGTTTTCGTTAAATCCGATCGCGACCTTCTAGATGCGTGATAATGACATATGATACAGTGGGGTATGGAAACATGTACCTGTTGATCGAGCGATCGTCAACGGGTGAGCGGGAACGGTGAATGTGCTTGCCTGACAGCGAGCATGCAATGTGGGTCTCCCAGGTACGCCAATCTCAGGCGTTTCGTCTGCTCTCGACGAGGGCCAATTGCTTCTGTTCCTCTGCTTCAAACTCGCCGGCTTCATAGTATAGATCCTCTTCGTCAATGTCGGCATAGCCGAAAATGCTGCGGTAAATACGTTCTCCAAGTCCCTTCTTCTGGGCCATGGCGAGTACCATGACAATGGGAAGATGCCAGATGCTAGCCCAGAACAGACCTCTAGCAGTTCCTTTCTGTCCCTCAGCCCTCCAGAACTGCCAGGCTTTGAGTGCCATCCAGCCGTTGACGACGCTACTCGTGGCTACGTAGCTCCAGTCGGTTACGCCGCAGTATGACAGACCGATGCAGACAGGAAACATCAGAATAGAGTATCGCAGTGCGACACGTCCATTCATCCCAGGGTTCACCCAGGCTGTCATGCGGTAGCCCGCGTTCTTGTACTCGTCGCGGATGGCCCAGCTCAAGGCGTTGAAGTGGGGGAACTGCCAGGCGTACAACAACGCAGCGCACAGCCACCCTCCAGCCGAACCCTCACCAAACAGCAGTTCTTCCCAAGTTCCGTCATGGGCGTACTGACTCGCTGCAGCCGTCCAACCCATGAGCGGCGGAATGCCTCCCACGATCGCGCCAACCCAGGTGTTCAGTATGTGCATGCGCTTCATGGGTGTGTACACGGCCGCATAGAGAGCGATGTTGGCGGCGCCAAGGAACGCTGTCGTGGGGTTGACGCCGTAGTAGAGGGCGCCGGTACCAAGCACCCCGCACGCGACGGCGAAGATGATGGCGCCTCGTGTGCTAATAAGCTTCCGAACAAGAGGCCGATTGCGCGTACGACTCATCTTCGCATCGTGTGCAGGCTCCATGATCATATTGAAAGCGTTTGCGGATGCCGAGCACAGCGCAGTGCCGGATGTGAGGAAGAAGAGTGTGAGAGTCGAGAGGGACGGAGTGGCTGTTGCTGCGGGGGCAAGCAGACCTGGTACGGGGTACAACGAGTATGCGGCCGTTGCACTGAGGACGACGAGGAAGGAGAGGCGCGGTTTCGATAGCGAGAGGTATGTAGTCATCATGCGCTTGAGCGACTGCTGCGGGAGGCTCGAGGATATGTGTGCCAGCTTGGACGACGCATCGTGTGGTATTGGATATGCCGTCTCTGGGTTCTCTACTGCCTGCTCTTTTGCTTTCTTCCGCCGCCTATGTGGTAACACTTCTTCTGTGCTGGGTGTGCCATCCTCCTTCGCCGCTTGCTGCCCGCCTGCGTTCGCCGATTTGATAGACAGAATCGAGCTCTGTAACTCTGGCCCCGACCTCCAGAATGTGTCCTTCAGTAGTGGGTTCGCCCGGAAGTAGTCCTTTCCGAAAGCAGCACCGCCTCGTCCGGCTACTATGGCGTCGCTTCTATACGACGGATTGAAAGAAATTGGTCTCCGGGACTGCAGCGGCGCTTTTGCGAGTCTGCGCCAACACCGCAGACATAGTGTGTTCGCATCCCGCGCTGCAATTGGCCGCGGCAGTATTGGTCGAAAGCTCATGGCGGCATGAGGTTGAGCTCTAGCGGGCAGTCGTCATGAGAGCGATGACTTTTGGATTGCACCTGCCAAGAGCCGAGGCGCGCTAGCCACTCAGACATCCCGCATTTCTACTCCACACTCGTCCCGTCTCCTTCTCAGCCTCACGACATCTTGATAAGCGACAATACTCAGTCAGCACTAATACGCGCTCCTCACCGGATACTGCAAGACGGAACAAAGATTTGAGTCGCTTTTTTGAAATCATCCGACCAGGCATCAGCGGACTGGCATGGAGCTCTTTCGAGTTGGAGGCGATGCCGAGTAGCACAACAGCTGCAATACGCGATGCCTCGGATGCATCATGATATGAATACGCCACAAACATGTAGGTAACGTTCGGCATAGAGCCCTATAACCAAGCCAAATCTCGAGCAATCCTGAACTCGGATCGGAGCTTCACACCATTTTGCCATGCACGTCCGACTGTTCGATCCAGACCCATATGACATCGCTCGTACCCGTGCTAGCCGCATTGCTGCCCCCGGCTTGCAGATGCAGCATGGCCCCCACACGTTCAGCTCGAAACTGTCAACACATTTCCGTGTAACCTGCACGGGCTCGACAACCAATGGATGGTCGTCAGCCTGCAGCAAAGCGGCGAGGCTATGTAATACCTGGAGAAGAGCATGAAAGAGGCTGTGTAAGCCACAAGGCTACGTGCTCTGATTTCTATTGCCAGCGCATCGCTCCCCGCGTCCGCTGAACTGTCGTTCGCATTGTCTACGTTCAAATGGATCCTATTAGCATCATCGCGTCGGCGATCACCATCGGTGCAAGCGCAGCCCAACTCTCGCTTGCTCTCTCCAGCGTAGTCGGGACACTTAAGAATGCACCTAAAGAGATAGCGGATATCGGTAGGCAGATTGCTCTAGTATCAGCGTATAACATACTCAATTAAACTAGCGGATGAAATATCTCTACTCGCAGGAAGTCTGCAGACTCTGGGAGAGATTCTTGGTACTCATCAGAATCTATGCAAGCCAGCATTCTTCGCAAATACTCGCGCCATCATATCGAGATACGAAGGGGTCGCTGCGGAGATTCGATTACTAATTAGTCGACGACGAAGCCTCGTAAGGCTCAAGTGGTTGTCGAACAAGATTAAAGTGAAAGGTCTTCTGAAGAAGATCGAGGGAATCAAGACGCTACTGGTCCTGGAGCTAAGTGTCATCCGCCTCGCCAGGGAAGAGGCTAATCGGCCGTAAGCATGATTGATGTTGTCTTCGTAGTTTTGCGGTCACTCACAATACCAGATCTGCCAACTTCGACTCAAACGGTCAAAGCCATGGCCGACCAGGTTTCAATCGGTTCCGTAGGATTGTGGAAAGCGCTGTTCAGGCGGGCAGGCACGTTGTAGAGAGTGCACAAGAAGAAGATGAAAAGCTCGAGGCAGGCACGGAACCACACTCCTCGGCTGAATTAGACCTATGGAAGAGCGCCTCTTCTGACACTGCGCCCTGGCTCTTTCAGATGGTGTTCAGCTCTGGCGACACGAGTCCTCCACCCCCATACCCACAACGACGTCAACTCCATCAAGCGTCCGTCGTGGATGAAAGCGTTGAGACGGCCACGAGAAGTAGCCACACATCGTCTTCTGAGCCGGTCACATTACCTGAGAGACGACCTTCGAGTCCAGATGAGAAGGCTATGATCTTGTGGAGCAGACAGACAGAACCCGATCTAGTAGTAAACAGACTACTCTCCTCATGGACTACGCTTTCGCCCAATCAAATCAGTCTCAGCTCAACTCGTCAACACGGTGTTGAGGGTGTAGTTGAGGATGATACCTGGAGGGAAGACATCCTGAGAAAAGTGGAGGAAGCAAAGAAGGATGATGACGTATCTTTGGACGAGTGGGAACAGGAGAATGAGCCTGTCGGGTCCGACGACGAAGCATTCCAGAGTGCTGAGGAAGACAGCACGTTCGATGCTAATGCACCTCCGTACAACTTCCGCCGCAACACCCAACAAGCCCGTACGAGGAGCGCAAGAACCTCTGACCGCAATACAGAGGATTATTATGCATACGGATCGTCGCCAATCTACAACGATCCCCCGTCGCCTAGGCGAAAGGCTGGTGATCAACACGTGAAATTTGGGAAAACATCAACCACTCGTCCACGTCGACGTGGATCTAAAGAAAGAAAACCTGGCGTGAAGCTGCCACGCGCAGAGGCTGGATCCAGACCACCTTCATCGAGAGTTCGCACGATTCGAAGTGATCAAACGGATGTAGCTTTCAGTGCACCAAACCATGACTGGGTCAACGTTCACGATCCTCAGAAGGAACCCAGATCAGGGTATTCGAATCCCTTCAGGCCTGGTCATATTCAGCCCCCTGTCGATTATGGATACTATCCGGGGTTACGGGAGACATCACATTTGCCACTACCTTCCGAGCCGCCGAGACAAGCACATGCATCTAATCCATACGTACAACATCCCCCAGGTCATCAGCCAGTCGTTGAATCCCCTCCGCCGTCTCCAGCTCCAGCTCCAGCTCCACCCATGCCTTTCATGATGGGGCCTCCTCCTCCTCCACCCCCTCCACCGCCATCGGATGAGGCTGGAGGGGAAGGGCTTCTCGCTCGGCTGGAGAAATTGCTTGAGAAGCGCAACCCAGAACCCTCCATCGGGTATGAAGACCCTCCGTTCTCAAGACTGGCGAAGATCTTACAGGAGCGCGAAGTACAAAGCGAAAGAGAACGGGCAAATGCAACAACTGAGGTGTACATGAAGCAGATGCAGGACGTCCACGAGAAAGATGAGGAGAAGATGAAGCAGCTCGAAAGTCTCGTAGCACTTCAAAGGGCAGAACAAAAGCGCATGGAAGTTAAGTGGGATGAGGAAAGGAAGGCTATTGAAGCAAGAGCAGCTGAACAAGCTCAAGAAGTGAGGGATCTGGCAGCGAAAGAGATCGCAGCGGCACAGTCGGCTAGGGAAGTAGCCCAAGCAGCTCTCAACACCGAGAAGCTAGAAGCCGAGAAAAAAGCACGGAAAAGAGCTGACGCCATGGTCATAGCGGAAAGACAACGAAGCGATGAAGTCCACAAATTGCAAGTGGAACGCTACGAAGAGCTAATCCGTGGAATACAAGAGCAGCAATTGAGCTCAGAGCAAGACAACGATCAGACCATACGACGGACTCGCATAGCGGAAGGTAATCGCAGCGTGGATGTAACAGAATATGCCACAAGCAAACGAGCTCCGCTTGCGGCATCTTCTTCCGCCCCATTCTTGGAAAGTTTCGCGCGCCTGGACACGAGGCAGAGCTATCGCGATCGCCCCCAAAGGACTTCTCGTCGTGACAGCTTTCGCAGCTCCATGGGCTCAATGCATGCTTCGCGTAGTTCATTAGGAAGTACAGGCACGTTAGAAAGTAACGCACTGTCTCAGCAGATGATCGTCTTTCCTGTCAAGGCCGACAGACGCTCTCAAAGGATGGACAGACTGCAGAAGTCGCTCGCTGGGTTTGGAATCGAATCTGTCTTTGAAGACGCTGAAGACGATCCGTTTCACACCAGTCAACTCATACAATATAATTACGACAACACGGATGACCAGATTGTTAGGAGTACCATCTTTTGGGAGTCCTCGGCGCTTAATCTAGGAAGCGAGCTTCTGCTGACCATGAGGCAAGCCGGATGGAGGACACCATACACTCGTATATCAGGTAATGATGCGTCACTAAAGCTTGATGACCATGTACTAACACTGTCTAGGCAAAGGTCAGACTCACTATTTAGGGAGTCAACCGATACATACATACTTCTTTGACCCTGACTACGAACCGCAGTTTTGCCCATCCGAGACAGCATCAGGCAAAGAATCGATCACTATTCAGAAAGCCCTTGTGGAACAGTACGCGCTGGTCGAGCTTGGCTTCCAATTTCAGACCAACGATATGGGGTTATATATTCTCGACGGTAGATTGACATATGTAAGGACCTGTGCAGCTCGCGACTGTAAACCCGAAACTAATGCGTAGTAGAACGACATCGAGACACTGATTGAACGATCGTTCCTCATGAGAGAAAACAACTATCGGCGTCTCCACCGTCAGCTACAATGGCATTTCGACAAGGATCCCGAAATACCTTTGAGTGCCTATCCAGCCACGTATGCGTCATCAGCGCACTCTGCACCGTCCGTGTACTCGGGCGAGAACTCCACTGTCTGCGACGACACAGATGCAGAGACGCGAGGCAAGAAGAGCCCAAGTTCGGCAGGCTCCGATGCCGATCAGTCCGATATTGGCGATGTCAGCAAATTCCTTGTTCCTCGATCTGAAGCATCAAGAAGGTCAGCAGCGCCGTCTTCTGCGGCTTCGCGGACTTCGAAATCTACGAATCCGTACCGGAAGTACATGAATGCGGGGGAGGATAGTGGGGTCGATAGTGTGTCTAGGTCATCTCGTTCTCCAAGCCACTTTGACTGAGGATGTATGTGTAGATATAAAGCTAGACGCAAGAATAAGTGTATGAGAAGGTGCGACTTCTCTAGATAAAAGGGCTTGTTGTTCCTCACTGCCCTTGCGACCATTGAGCTTTCTGCTCTGATGCAGTTGCGATCATCGTCAATCTATTGTATACGTACATCTGACTACTTATGTCTGCATCTATCCTGAGTAGCTCACAAAGTGTCTTCGCGCCGTGAGTAGTTGCGCAGGTGTTCTCCCGCTAGCCCATGACGCAATCGGCATCCCGAGAATCGGTATCATTCCGAGGCAACACCCAAAACTTCGTAAGCATCGCGCCTTCTACAAGCTGCCTTATCAATTTCGCGCCCTATCTTCCACGCGCATTCTGTACATGCGCTTCAAACACTTCCTCGCCCTCTCAGACCCACGTCTTTACAAGCTCGCCAACTTCCGCGTCCGCTCCCATTGGCGCACCATGGCCGCCGCCCCGCCCCCAGATCGCCCGATAAAGCTATTGATGCTTCACGGATACACGCAATCCGGATCACTATTCCAAGCCAAGACCGGCGCACTGCGCAAGACATTACAAAAAGCCTTCCCCAAAGGCATCGAACTCGTGTACCCTACTGCGCCGATTCGTTTGACACCCGCCGACGAATCGTTCCTAGCGGGAAACACAAGTAAAGATGGCGAGGGCAAAGATACAAAGGACGGAGAGGAGCAAGAAATCGATGCATGGGCGTGGTGGAGGAGGAAAGGTACAGGAGAACCATACACATACGAAGGCATGGAGCAAGGGTTGGAGCGCATCGCAAGCGTGTTGAAAGAACAAGGTCCTTTTGACGGTGTCGTGGGATTCTCACAAGGTGGAGCAGCGGCAGCTATGGTCGCGAGTTTGCTCGAGCCAGGCCGTCGTGCCGCATTCGAGAAGCTGTATCCTGAGGGCGGTATGAGGTTCCCAGAGTCTTTCGAAGAGGACACCGGGTACATGGAGGGCACAATACATCCGCCGCTGAAGTTTGCGGTCAGCTATAGCGGCTTCGCAGCGCGTGGGAAGAACCCTTATCACGCGTTCTATGAGCCTAAGATCAAGACACCGATGCTGCATTTCTTGGGTACGCAGGACGTCGTGGTTGAGGAGGCGCGCAGTCTGGCATTGGTCCAGGCTTGCGAACACAGCGAGGAGAAGTATGTTGTTTATCACCCTGGGGGTCACTTCCTTCCAAGCACGCAGAAAGCTAGTGTCAATGCGTTGATTGGGTTTATCAAAGAAGTTTTGCACGAACAGCAAGGTGGTGGAAAGAAGGAAGAGGAGAGTGTTGAGGATATGGATGTGCCGTTCTAATGTTGAAGGCGGACATATTCAGAGGTCTTGAGAGCGTTGATTTCTACACAGGAGCGAGGCGTTTAGGTAGACTCGCAATAGACAATAGACTAGAAACGGCCGCGAACGTGCAACTCTTAATGCCATGCACGACGCGGGGAGCGCTGTCACAAGACCAGGCGAATGCGCACGGGCCCTTCTACCCCATTGTTTGGGTTGGCGCCTTCCATGTTTACATGAGTGCTGTCATCCCGAACACCACCACCACACACCAAATCGCGACTCCACCATGGCGCAAGCAGGCAAAGAGAATATCGCCGACGGCCTTATCGCGAATGGCTCGTTCAAGGCGTCGACGCAGCCTCTGAAGAAAGCAGCATTATCACCAAAGAAAAAGACGCGTAGTAAGAGTATCGGCCCTGGAGGTCTGGGGGAATTGGAGGCGCCTCCGCTGAAGGAGAGTTTTGGAAACCGCAGAAAGGTATGCTTCGTACACGCGATTGTATAAGTGAATGCTGACCAAATAGTCTGCGTTTATCCCCGCCGTCAAGTCCATTCTAGCCTCGAACGATGAAGATGAGAAGAAGCGGCGCGAAGCGCGCCGCAAGTCGCTGGGTACGTGTTTCAGGCGTGAAATCGACCCATAGGCTTGACTAACAATTGTTTAGCAAGGCGACGCGTGTCTTTCGCCCCGGAAGCCACTCTACACACATGGGACGTAGTCGAGTACATGCGCGATGCGACCACCTCGTCCGCGTCATCGGAGGCCACACGCAGAGCCTCGAACGTCTCCCAAGCATCCACACCGGCATCGCCTGCCCCTCCATCGGACCCCGCCGAGCCACCGTCTACACCACCAGAACAAGCCGAAGAGCCTCAACCAGAGCCCAGTTCGTCACCTGAGAGCCAACGCGCGCAACATCAAAAGAAGAACCGCCGGAGTTCGGGCATACCGCCGATGAACTTCAACAATCCTGACGATGTTTACTCCTCAAGCCCGCTCAGCGGAGACAATGCTTCGCCCGGTGGAAACGATGACGGGAGCAGCGACTCTGAGGATATGGATATCGACGATGCCACAGAAAGTCTAGGAGCTTCACCCGATGTTGAGGACTCATCGCAGAGCAGCGCTCGACTGGATGCTGCGCTGCGCGAGGCTGCAAACTTGGCAGGCACTCAGAAGCTGGATTTCGACGACGATGACGGAGACATGAGCATGGAGATCGCCCAAGACGAAGTTACTGCATCTTTCAAGCCCTGGGCAAAGAAGAGCTTCGTCGCACAATATGACAAGGAGAATGCAAGCCCTCTTTTCTCCCCAGCACGCACCGTAGCCGGCGAGGACGACGACATGAGTATGGACATCACGCGCGCAGTAGGCCGCATCGTACCCCCACCACCACAACAAAAGCAGTCGGAGCAGCAGCAACAACAACGCTCAGACGCAGCGAGCTCTGACGTCGACGACGATGACATGACTATGGACCTTACTATGCCACTTGGAAGCATACAGGCGATGGCGGCATCTTACAAACCAGCAAACAGGAGGAAGAGTCTTAAGAGGAGGGTTTCATTGCTCGATGAAAACCAAGGCAGCCCTGCAAAGCGCACTGCAAGCCGGCGTACAAGTTTGCGACAGCGTCGACAATCCGAAGAGCACGGCGAAGAAGACGCGACTATGGACCTCACAATGGCAATTGGAGCGATTAAGAAAGCGCCACAGCCGGAGCCAGCTCGACGTGCTAGTGTTGGAAGCGTCGTTGATGATGCGACGATGGACTTCACGCTGGCAGTGGGCAGCATTAAGAATGGCAAACAACAAGCACAAGAAGACCAGGAAGATGAGGTGGAAGACGAAGACCTTTCCATGGAGTTCACCAAAATTGTTGGACCTGGTATTAGGCGTGCCGGCAGCTCATCAACGACACCACAAACACCCGTAGATGACACTCCCGCTTCGGCAACGAAAACACCGACACCGCGAAAGTCTCCGAAGAAGTCGCCTGGACGAAGAACGAGCTCCATTCTGAGGGCCGAGGCCGAATCAGCGCCTCAGGTTCTGCAAAACATTACGCCCAGTACGACAGGCGATGTGGCCTATCCCACCCTGGACCCTGGTACGCCGGAGATTGTCAGGCAGAAGGATATTGAGGAGGTTGAGCCCTCGCCGTTTGTGCGCCGGACTCCGCTGAGTGCGACCAAAGAGAAGGAAGCTGTCGCGACTCCTTCAAACCCTACGCCGCAAAGGACACCCATGATGATTCCTGAGGACCCGATTGCAGCTACAATACTTGACCGACGTCGTTCGTCCTTGTCTGCAGTTCAATTCAGTCCTCTGAATGCACCACGTCAGGAGCCTACTCTCAAGAGCACTGCACTTCTGAGCAATAGCATCAAGCTGTTATCTACGCCGCGAAAACAGACATTAATGTCCCCAGTGAAGAAAGGGATGACGCCGAAGAAGTCACAGACTCCTCAAAAGCAGCCAACGCCGAAGCAGCCGACACCGACACCCAAGAAGGGGAACCTCAGGCAAAGCATGAGCCCAATGAAGCGCGTCGCTTTTGGTGAAGAGCCAGAGGAGGAGAACAACGACGAGGCTGGTGTGGCAGAAGATATGTCGGATGTTGAGCGAATCTCGTTACAAGACTTCCTCGATATGACCAAGATCCGCTTCATGGATCTTAGTACGACCAAGCGACGTCATACTGCTGCTCCTTCCGCTTTCCACGATGTGGAAGTAGAGGAAAAGGAGGAATCTTTAGATCGCTACGTTGTGGCTGGAGCGTGCACCTTGCCTGAGTACGAACTGTATCAGCATGCATGCCACGAGATGAAGAAGTACATCTCGGACGGTCGCCACTTCGTCCGTACAATGGAGGCCAACGTACTAGAAGAGAACCCACTGCTGTTCAGCGAGTACCTCACTGCACCCCCGGATCAGCGCGCTGTCATGGACAATCAGTTCAAGAACCTCAAGACAAATGCGCGCCTCGAGGCCCGTGGAGAGTGGTATACATGGCGAAGCACGCTGCTACACGATCTCAAAGCTGGCCTTCTTCATACCATGGACGGTTTCAACCACGACGAATCCACACTGATCAAACAGGAGCGCCTTCTTGACGAGACATTACCTCCTCTGGTTGAGAAGAAGGAACGTCTGTCCACTGAGTGTAAGCAACTGCAGCAGCGTCATGATGAACTCAACAGCTGTGACCGGGAAGAACTCGAGCAGACGAGAGAGAAGCTTACTGCTACTGATGCCGAGTTGGAAGAGAAGAAGCTGCTTCTTGCCCAGCTGCAACAAGAGCTTGCCGACAAGGAAACAAGCATCGAGGCAGCTAAGGACCGCAAAGTCGAATGCATCCAAGAGATCAAAGCAGCGGAACGTGTACGAGAGGAGTGCCGCGGCTGGTCTACAAGCGAGGTCAGCAGTCTGAGAGGTATGTAATGCTCGTTCTCTGAACGCGAATTACACTAACAGCACACTAGCCAAACTCACTGCCCTTGAACAAGCCCACGGATGGAGCATAACGTCCGCTTCCTCGAACAGCATCACCATGACACACATGAACGACCTCGAACTTTACTTCGTACCTTCTGCCTTCGCCACCGGCTCCAACACACCCAACGGATCCATCTCGCTTGCCTACATCGGTGATTCAGCAACACCACATCCTCGTGCGTTGACGACAAGCAAGCGCTTCTTCCTCCAGCTCATCCGCGCGCATCTTCATGGGATCCCTCAATCGCAGACCCGAATTTCCTCGCTTCTTTCCCTTGTCAAGAATGGCTGGGCCACCGCTGTTGCAGTCGCAGAGGGTGTTCGCTGGCTTGAGCATAGCTACATCACCGAAGAGTTCATCCTCTCGGACGAGCGCATGGCAATCTCTGCGAACATGTTATTGCCGACTCTTCAAACAAAGGTCAAGGCTACCTTTGAAGTCGGTGTTAGTCTAGGCAAGGAGGGCATTGAGACCGACGTCAATATGCGAGCGGAGGTTGTTTACGGTGAGAAATACGGCGAGGAGAAGATGGGCGCGTTCTTGCGCGACTTCTGTGGGAACGAGATCAAAGAAGAAAGGGAAATGTCTGTCTGGGCGGACGGTATGATGGATCTTGCTGCAAGGTTGAAAAAGACCGGAAGGAAGGGCGAGAGGAAGTAGGTGTAGCGCGCCTTGTGAGGTTGACCTTACGATGTTACGACTTAGCTTTATGGGTTACGATGGCGTTGAGAGTAAGACAGCTTAAGCGTCAGCTGGGAAATGCATTCTTCAATACTTTTAGATCATTGCTTCTTGGACATGATGTTGTTCGAGTGTCGCGAGGTCTACCATGCCATATCCGCTCTAGTCGCATCAGCCGGAGAAACTCATGATCGACGTCATACGGAACATTTCCAGAGCTGAGCCTAGCCCATTCCCCCAGCAAAGGCTCGGCGCAAATTACACCGAATGTCGCGACTCATGAACGCCTGTTGTTGACGTTCATACCATGCTATCCTGGTTTTAGCCGTCCCCGCAATCCGGGCGCCGGGAATGGGTTGCTGTAATTTGCGGAGAAGGGGCTAATATGGCATTAGACTGGTATCTCCAATTCTGTATATGTACTTGCAACCGCAGTTTATGGATCGTGAGTTTCGCTAAAAGACATTGATTGCGATGTTACTGTCCGTCGCTTCTGTGATCCTCGCCTTCGTGGCGAGCGGTACACCCGTTTCTGCATCACCAACGCAATATCCCCATCAAAATGCATCTAACCCCATCGTCCATCTCGACTATGGAACCTTCCGCGGCGCATCATCCTCCCAATACAACCTAACATACTACCGCAAAATCCCCTTCGCAGCATCAACAGCAGGTGAAAACCGATTCCGCGCACCCCAACCACCGCTCTACATCACCAATGGCACATACGACACCGACCAAGCCTTCGACATGTGCCCTCAGCGCACAGTAAACGGTTCAGAAGACTGCCTCTACCTCGGCCTCTACTCACGCCCCTGGACAAGAAAGCAAGAC